AATATATGCAAACAAGACATACCTTTGGAATCATTTTTAAAACGTTTCAAAAACATTTTCTAGAAATGTTCCTTAAAGATTTTACTTTAACCTTTTTGAAAACATTTTGAAAATGTTTCTATAGAATGTTGCATAAATTATAAATAAAATGTTTCAGTTGTAGGAGAAGAAAACGTTTTGTTCAATGTTTTAAAAACATTTTAACGACCATCACTGAAACATTTAAATATTAAACTCTAAGCAATATTAAGAATGTTTTAAAAACATTTTGACAACGTTCTTTCGAAATGTTTTGAAAACGTAACATTACTATGTTTCATATATGTAGAAGAGGAATGTTTTATTTCAGGTTTTAAAAACATTTTTATAACGTAATAAGAAACTGTTTAATATATGCAAACAAGACATACCTTTGGAATCATTTTTAAAACGTTTCAAAAACATTTTCTAGAAATGTTCCTTAAAGATTTTACTTTAACATTTTTGAAAACATTTTTAAAATGTTTTTAAAATGTTACAATGGGAAAGAAGAATGTTTTTAAAACATTTTAAAAATGTTTACTCTGAAATGTTTTGAAAAAACATATTTATAACTGCAATAAAATGTTTTGAAAATGTTTTGTGCTACCTGGGCTGTTGATTCAATCTAACAAGAATGACCAATATCTGAAGTACACATGTAGTAGTACAGTCAGATTATATACATTTTACAAAAACAATAGCTTAAATCTCTTTAACCAACTCGTAACATAAACCGCTCTAAGCACTATTAAATTGTACATATACGACAAAACATACTTGAACATGTAAATATACTTATAAATAGGAGTACACATAAAATACAAGAATGGAACATAAGACAACGAAATAGAATTTTTGATTTTTTCCATTTGATTTTTGGCTTGTCAAATTTTTTCGAGGCTGGTCCCTTACTTTGAAAATTGTTGCTATGGGTCTGACATTCACACATTAAAGGGTTCACAGTACAGTGCAGGGAACTAATTTTGTTACATAAACCAGCATCAGCATAAGCATTAGTAGCATCAGGATCGAGCTAGCATCAGCATCAGCATTTAAAAAACAGCATTACCAGGATCAGTATCAGCAAGCAAAGGATAGAACTAGCATAGCTAGCATTGACCTAGATTTAAAAACCAGCATTGACCTACTTAAAATCAGGATCATGCTGGTTTACTAATAATACAGATTCGTTTTTCACAAAACGAAACAGCATGTAGATATTCTTATTTCAGTCTGGAACAAATACATATAGTGTATTTCTTGCGGTTAAATTATTCAATACAATCTTAAGATAAATATTAAATTAATTTAATAGCAATAATCCCGCGATATTTTTCAATCTGAATCAGCTGATCACCAAACGTCCTATGGAGTCCACTGTTGAGGCCTCGCCACGGCTTGATGTTATTGAAATTGGTGATAAAAGGGTAAGTAGTAACACTTGGTCAACAAAAATAAGTTTAACAATACAATAAAAGTATGATGTTTGGTGTATAACTATTTACTTTAATTTTTATTGGGTTTTAAGTGTATACACGTACTAAGTAATTCACAATCCGAATTTCCTCAAAATTGACGGAAGCCAGAAATAAAAGTCGCAGTGCCTTTGATAAGATAATCATAGAGGTGTATTGAACAAAACCTAGTAATTAAACCAAATAATTGATTCTGTATTATTCACAGCATTAAACGAATCTTGTTTAAATATTTTTAATGCGGAGGTTCTTAAATTTTATAAAAACATGTGCAGATAAATTTGTGTATGTACATGTTGTAGATCTACCAGAAAAAATTTCAATTTCAAGTAGCTAAAAAATAATTATCATTATAACACAAAATAATATATTGGAGAGGAACTATGCATGAAAATACATTCATTTTAAAACTTTTACACTACATATTCTTTTTCACATTATTCATCATAGTGGTACATTGTGTAAACTAGTTTGTATAATTGTCCTGGTATGTAGAATTTTATTTTAAGTACTTGAATCCATTAATACCCTTGCAAATAAGATCTCAATTCAATTATAATAAATACACCAGATTTTATCAACAGAATTAATTAAGTATATAAATCATTATAGTGTTTTTTTCCCAAATTAAGTTGTGCAAGATTTGTAAAAAAGATAAGATGATCAATTAATAAATCTTAGCTTCTTTGTATAATGTACTTTTATCTTTATTATAGCTCTTAGTGGAAGAACATGAGAGTACTTGATAGAAATGGAGTGCTATGAACAGTCTACAGTTTGTTGTTTCAACACCCCACATGAGAATTTTTCATTCATAATGGAGACACCAACACTTGTCGGTGAAGGGCTGCAATTTTAGACCTGTACTCGGCACATGGGCCTTTAATTATTAGCAGTGAGAGATCTTTTTCGTGCCAGCACCTTCTGCAACACTGGAACTTGGTTTATATGGTCTCATCCAAAGGACTGGGGCAATCTACAGTGAAGTCTGAGAATGATGATTCAAAGAAAATTCTGTTTGGAAAATGATATTTTTTAAAAAGAGAAATGTTCTTGATTCCTAAAAGTAGAAGGCATGGACAGTATAATGAAATGGTGAAAACTTACAAAAAAACCCCCAGTTTTTCAAGAAAGTGAACTTGTTGAAAAAAAACTTTGCTGGTGGTCAAGAAAAAAGCTTCACTTTTTCATGCAAACACCATTCTATTTATTTGACTTTGTGGACATAAATTTATCAAACAAGTGAAAAAGCAGTGCATGAATATAGGACATGGATTGTAAAACTATTAATTTGATTATTCCATCATTACACCATTTCATAAAATTCTGAAAGTTGTTATGGGACATTTTGTGATTCCATTTATTATCAATTATAATTTGGTCAAGTTGGCACTGACTATAAATAAATTGCAATTTTTAGACACTGGGAATATTGTTTTTATTGCTTCCATGAACTTAAAATTTTACATGTATACTGTGTTGTTCTACAATAAACATAAAATAACCTTTATTTTGCCCCCTACTTCAAATATATTGTGCCTTACAGCACAACTTGCTTTTAAGGAGTGGTAAAAGAAAAATTTGGAAAAGATGATATAAGAGTTTGTTATATTTTCAGAAACTGAACATTTTGCCAAGGCGGTACACATCTAGAAGAGAAAAACTGATAGAAAATATTACTGTAAATTTCATATATTAAGGTTTTAATTTTAAAATTGTGAAATTTGTGTTGTACTGAAGGAACAGTTTTAATGTTATATCATCAAGGTCAAAAGATATCTGGCTAGCACAAACTCTAAATCTATGGTACACCATAGTATAATAAGTGAATGATTTAAACCATTGGCTTAAACAATGAGGAAAATGTATCTCTACAAATGTACCATGATGTAAGGCCAAAATAAAATTATTGTTCGTTTGGAATTGCCTCCCGCCTCATTGAAATGACCCTCCTGGAAAATTTTTATTGACCAAAAATAAGATTTTTTTTATTCAATCAATTCTTGGCCTGTTATCACATGTGCCATCCAATCACTTAATGTAAGTGTTGGATCTAAGCAAAACTGGGTTCCTGGTTGATGGGAGATACCCTTCACAAAAAGGCAGAAAATAATGTGTTCACTGCTTATTGAGATTTTTATCATAAATTTTTTATTTAACTTTAATGTTAAAAAAAAAAAATTCCCTCCCTCCTGGGTCTGAAACCTCCCAGGCGGCAATTCAAAACAAACAATTTTTTAAGGATGGCCTTTAAGAGAAGAAATATCTATACAGTAAAACATGGTTATAACGAACACGCTATAATGAATTCATGCTGATGGCGAAATGATTTTCATTCCCTGTGGTTTTCAAACCCATTGGAAAGTAAACATATAACAAATTAAAACTGTTTATCCCAGGCATTTAGCTGTAAGCTTATTTTTCTGTATTTGAATGATTTACTTCATTCTAAAATACCCTACATGATAATGTGTTATCCCCCATATTCAGTCTCTTAATGCAGATTATGGAATTTTTCATTAAACATTTTAAATGAAATCCAAATAAAGAATTGTTATTATTTCAAGTTTAAATATTCAGATGTCAATGAATGGGGACATACCGGTATTACTATTTTTCTCTATACAACTCGGTAACCTTGGCTTTACTCAGTATTTAACCATTACATATATAATATTCCATTCAGTTACCTAGTACACAATATTCTTAGCTCAAATGCTGTATATATACTCTGTATAGTGTAAGCAAGTATATCCAACAAAAAATTTAGTGAAAAGTAGGAACATCAGTGAATATTTAACCAGTTATGAATTAGTGTTTCATTTTTTAAGTTGGGGTGTAAGTGATCAAAAATTCAATTTTTTTTTAGAGTATTCATGAAATAGAGGATTGCATATGCTTCAATAAGAACACTACATGTAACAGAAATATTGCCTGTCTACATAATCTCAGAGGCAGATCTAGAATGTTGGTGTTAACAAAAAAATATCAGGGGTATTATTTTTTATGTTTTGTTTTGTTTTTTTTTTTTTGAAAAAATGTGTACTACAAACACAACTTGGACATAAAATTTTATATATACATGTATCTCTCTATTAGTACCTAAAACATCACACTACTGTAAAATATATGTGTTCATTTATTTGACAAAATCAATTATGTGGACAATCATATGAACAGTTTTAAGACTGTACAAAAGAGCAGGCATGCATTTCAATTTTCATACATCTCAATGTAATCATGTACAATACATAAAGCACTTGAAGTCCACTTTAAACTCTGTACATTACTTTTTAGATCTACATGGGAGATAACTTAAAAATGTACAAGTATGTGATCAATGAATTTTGCACACTTCATCACACAGGTTTTAACACCACTGTCTGATTTACAGAAGTTGATTATTAGTTCTTGGCTTCTCACTATTTTTTCAGATAGAATTTCATCAGCTGGATTTAGGTCCAAAGAGGAGGCCAGCATATCCAAATCATTCTTCAAAATAACCTTTTTTTTTGCCATCAATCCCTGGTGGACTTACTGCAGTGTTTACTATCATTGGCCTGAAAAATATGAGATATTAGGTCATGATTTAATTTAAAAATGTTATCAATGTAAATTAAGTTGATTAGTTTAATTTCTCTTCTTGCATGGATATTAACAAACAATCTTCCAAAGAGAATCTGAATATAAGTTTTGGTTGGAGATTTTTAAATTTCATATGATTAAGAAACTCATCCTTGAATTATTTTTACTTTCAAACAGACTGCTTAAATAATAAAAGTAAAAAGATTATAAATTCAAATATAAAAAATGCCAAATGTTAAAAATACAATGTATATACAGTTCTAACTACAGTTTTGTTAACTTTATACAATTACGTCTACATCGCACGTACAAATATACAGAATACAGACTTGAAGAGCAAATTGTATTAAGACAAGTTTTAAAGCAAGTATTTTTTTTTTCAGGTAAAAGAAAATAAATTGGCACTACTTAAACTTGAAAAGTACTTGCGTCAATGAAATAGGGGCACAATTAGTAACTTAGAACGGTGAAGTGATTTAGAACATGATTTTGCTTTTTAATGTCAAATTAATGATCACAGTTTCAAGCATTAATTTAATTTCTTTTTTCTTTAACTCCAGTAAAATTTAAAAGGAGCCATTAGGGCTGAAAAGATTAATCGATAATATTAATTCTGTGTGAGGATGGTACGTATATCAATATGTATGTAAAAATATTTAAATATTGCAAAAAAATTCAGGCGTTTTTCTTTGTTTACTTACATTTTGGGTTTAATATATGTATGATAAACATGACGTGAAGGACATACGCAACGTAGTTTGAACATTATTGTCTTTTTCCCTGGAGTTGAAGAGTTCCAATATTTAAAGGAACTGTGTGCTACAATTTAATGTCTATATATGCTATTGTATACTTCTTCTAAAACAAGTTTTGATAAACAAAACATCTAGAATATATGCTTAGTAATTTTTGTATATTTCTCTATGAATTATACAGGAATTTTCATCAATTGATATCTTTTCAAAACCTCTGGAAATGCATGCTGATTTTTTGTCTACGAACTTCTGATGGCACTATAATCTTAAATTAAGAATATCTTGAAAAATTATCAGTAGGTAAAGTACATTGCGTATGTCCTTAAATAGAAATATTTATTTAAAATACATACCGGTAAAAATTTACACCACTTGCGTGAAGTAAGTTTGTTTTACAACGGATATACAGCTTATGTCTTTAAATAAATCATTCATAATTGGGATGAAATGTTTTGTTCTTTTCAATACAAAAATAAGATTTCATGACCAATTCAAAATATTTGATACATATCGTATCATAGCTCAAATATCATGATTGATACATATCAATGTACGTATCAATATAAAAAAAATTGTATCATCCCAGCCTTCGAACCCTTCCCATCCCAAAACAGTTTTATTTGACTTGGGACAACTTTCTTTTTTCCTTACTTTTTCTTGTAGCATTTTATTCAGGTACTTAATTGTAAGTTACTTTTCTGCCTTTTGAAAAATGTTGTTATAATGTATCTGTTTAAAACCTTACGTACAATCTACTCGTAAACCAGGCACAGGTCAGTTACATGATAAGGTACAACCTAACTTCTCCCCTCAAAACTAAGACCGCAAGGGTAAATTGAATTCCGTAACCATACTTTTGTTTAACAGTTGACTTCTAGATTTGGTAGACTGGCCTTGCCTGTCTGATATGCGCAATATACATGAACGTACGAAAGAGACAGGCAATACCAGTCTATAGATTTGGTTAGAGTTGACATACTAGGTTTGAGTGGACTTGGTTATCAGTCGGTCAGGTTATGTACTGACTTGATACCATGTGAATTAACTACAGAAGACTGCATCTGAATCTCTAAAAATCATACATATAATTCTTTCTCAATTGTAAAAATTGACCTTTAAAATCACATGGGTTTAAATGCCAGAATCGCTGAGAATTTTGAGTGTTTATTTATTTGTAAATCTGTTTCACATCATCCTTACATAATCTGATAATTTGATAATTAAAAAAAAAAAAACATAGTTTACATACCCTCTGAGTCATGGTAGTGTACTGATGATCTGATGGTTCCTTGGAAACGGCTTTTACAACTTAAAGCATAATATTTTTGCTGAAATATTCACACGAAACATGATAAATTTTCGTCTGGGTTTGTCATAAACTTCATCATGTTCATTGTCCATCACGTTTCCTTGCTCACACGTTGAACACATTGGGGCTCTTCTTCCGAAATCGCTTCGGAAATGGGAAAATCATCGCATCGTTGGGTGCAAGCAATACCTCACGGCACGTCGATTTACCCAAATGGACCCAAATGGAACCCAAATGGACCCAAGTGGAAACAAATGGACCCAAATGGAACCCAAATGGACCCAAATGGAAATCAAAATGGACCCAAATGGAAATCAAATGGACCCAAATGGAAATCGAAGGGAATATTAAATATATATTATCGTATTATCAAGTTGTTACTTATTTAAAATGATGAAAATAATGAACTTACAAATGGAGAATATTAATTATTCATCTCTAATATTGTATTTTAGAATACGAATTAATTTTCTTTAGTATTCTATATATCGGCAAAATTATTGGGGGGTGGGGGTGGGGGCACAGGCCCAGTCCCCCCCCCCCCCCCCGTTCCTACAGCCATGAAAACTATATAAACTTTAAAATGAAATACTTCAATTTTGTATTCAATGATATGCAAAAGTTATTACAAATAGAAAAAAGATTAATTCGTATTTTAAAATACAATATTAGAAATGAATAATTAATATTCTCCATTTGTAATTTCATAATTCTTATCATTTTAAATTAGTAACAAATTGAGAATACGATAATATATGTTTAATGTTCCATTTGGGTCCATTTGATTTCCATTTGGGTCCATTTGAGTTTCCATTTGGGTCCATTTGGGTTCCATTTGGGTCCATTTGTGTCCATTTGGGTCCATTTGAGTTCCATTTGGGTCCATTTGGGTAAATCGACGCACCCATACCTCATAAGAATTATCTGGATTGCAGTGGGCAGCTAGCCTTTGTCAAACAACTCTGTTACGATAACTTCGCAAGATTTACTTCCAACTTTCACTGTGTCGCCATTTTTGTTTTCAATTTTACGATTGGAATTTGACAAAGCGAAATTCGTTAAAAATCGCTAAATTTCTTTCGGTAAAAAATGTAAACAGATAAAAGAAAGTTATTTAATACAATATACAAATAAAAATTACAAAAAAAATATTTTTTATGGCTTAAAATAGCAATGCTGAAATTAAATTATCCACTTCCGCCAGGATAATCCTACTTCCGGTAGCATTACTAGCATTGACCTAGTTTTGAACCAGCAAAAGTAGCATCAGGATAAGGATCAGATCAGGATCAGGATAAGGATAACTAGCATTAAATCAGCAAGCAAAGGAAGCATTCAAATCAGCAAGCAAAGGAAGCATTCAAATCAGCATTGATGCTGTAACAAAATTAGTTCCCTGCACTGTAATATCCAAATTTGTTCTACTAACTTTATGAAATAGCAAAATTTACATTTTATTACTGATGTATATGTAGAATGGTCCTGACCTGCATATCATAAAAAATCCTTCACAATTGTCTTTGCATCAGTGATTATAATGAAAGGTAACTTTATTCAAAACAACAAATAAAAATGAAGAACAAGAATTGAACACTTTGGATACATGTACACTGTCTATAATCAATTCTTTTTTTTCTTTTTTGTAATTGAAAAAAAAAATAGTAATATATATTAGGCAATCTTTATAAAAAAAAAAATCCCCAGTCCCCACTGGCAGACTAGAAATGGCCCCATTCAAAACTTTTTTTAGAAAACTGTAGGAAATTATCATTTTTTTTTTTCATTCATTCTGGAATTTTCTCATCCTGTTAACAACTACTTTAATTTTATTAACATCTTTAATTTCAATAAACTTAGATAATTCATGCATAGATGTTGAATTTTTCTCCAAAATTAAAATTTACTACCTAACTACCAACCCAATTTTTTTTTTCTGAGCTGGGAGAGGGTAAACACCCCCCCCCCCCCCTTTTTTAAAAAAAAAAAAAAATGTCTTAAAACGTTAGTTTGATAATAAGGTGGAATAAGTTTATTTGGTATTCTTACCAATTTTGGCACAAATTTTGGTAGACACTAGGAATTTAAAGGCCAGAATACATATTCACGTGTACGGCTCCTGATTGTACTACATCATTATCCTACAATAGATCGATATGATATCAAGGTCTATACAAGACTTGAAGACTTAAAAATAAATCTGTACATGTCTTTAGAATATTGCCACATCCTGCCAACAAAATTATTGAACATGATGAATACTGGTGGTAACATCCCAATGTAGGTGTTCGTCAAGAGTGGTTATGATCAGAGTTTGACACTAAGGCACGTCCGACTGACCCAGTCTAGTAAATGAGTGGTCCGGTCGAGTAAAATGGGGTGTTGCTAAAACGATGAACGGAAAACGGAAAATATGATACCAGTTTAAAGGCCTTGAAAATAATTAAATCATATATATATACATATTATCACCCTGATAAATTATACCAAAAACAATATACATTTTATATGTTATTCATATTTAACCTTGATTATCAAGAACAAGTTGAGCTATTCATGTATATTCTCATATTATGAAGTTTCATGTACAATAAGGAAGCATAGGGTACGGAAAACAATTGCCGTACATATGGTATATATGAAACGTTGTGGTAAATTATGAGTGAATTAACTTTATAAAAGACCACTCTGGTCAACATAAAAAGCCAGGATTCGATTTTATATGAGCGCACACAGCATGATTTTAAATGCACAGGCACCTATATAAAGCGTGGATAACCATGATCATGTACAACTCTTCATCCTTCACCCACCCCACCCTCCGTATTTGGCCAAATTTTGAAACTGGAAAACAACACAGACCGATTGCACAGAATAACATTCAAATTGCTATGATGGAGAAATTATAAATTTTCCCAAAAAACAGCGTTCACGTAATTTATTATTTGGTAGGGAGGGAGGATGATGCATAGATGTAGCCTACGTTGTCCTCGCTTTAAGTGCCCGACGGTGGATAGCGCGGATCCAGGATATTTTTTGGGGGGTTGGGGTTACGCCCCAGTCAAAAAAAGCGTTTAAAAGTTGTTTACTTTTCCTATCAACTTCACAGGGGTCTGTGTTTTCAGGGGGGGGGGGTCATTTTTCTTTTATTTACTTGACTATGTACTTGTGATAACTCAGAAAATTTGAGGGGTCCGAACCCCATCCCGAACCCCTCTAGATCCGCGCATGCCTGTTGTTGTAATAAGCGTGTCCTCTATTCTTTCCTTATTGCCAATGATCTTTGTCTAGAACACCATGTGTACATGATTATTCTCTGTTTCTGCCCCCCCCCCCCCTCCCCCACGTCCTCCTGTTTTGAAACACCATTGCCTGTTTCATAATAAATGATAAAGAAAGAGAGTTCAGTCTTTGGTGAATAAGCTTCAAAAATTAGATTTTTTAGATAGATACTTGGGCTGTGTGTATAATTATTATGTATTTCATTGACCACCGCATGCATGTAGGTTCTAGGGTGCGAATGAATAAATTACATTGCTATGCATTTTTTTAATGAGATATAAACTGTATGATAAAGAATACTGGCTCCTGTCCGATTTATACATGCATGAAGTAAATAATTTGATGTAAGATTTTCCGTTTTCCGTTCCGTTCCGCGTTTTAGCAACACCCTGTAAAATGACTGGTCGTGTGTATGAAATAAATGATAACCCTCATTTCAGTCTCTCAAATAAATATTCTAAAAAGTTTTTTTTTTTTTTTATTTTTTTATTATTTTTTAATATTCTTATTTGTCTGAAAGTAAACATCACCCATCGCTCTGTAAAAGAAAACTTCCCCTCATGAAACAATCGCTATTTTTAGCCCGGTTGTAATAGACAAGTTGCGATGGAAACTAACTTCGTTCAGTATTTAAAATTAGTATGAAGTTATTGAATAATATATTCTTTAATTCACAATATATTTATATTTAGGATAATTATTCTTAAACTAAGGTAATTGATTGTTCCTTAATTAAGGCTTATAATATTTGTGGAAGAGTCTGTCAATATACATCTTAACAGGTGCGAGAGACGGTATCTTTATTGTAGTATGGTTTCGAAACTTTTTTCCATTATAATTAGCAGTTTATAAAAAGTGGATTTAAGTTTGGTCAGGGCTAGTGATTTTATGGTCAGGGCTAGTGAAAATTATTGGAAGCTGCCCAACTGGTCTAGTACTCATAAAAGTTAGTGTCAAACTCTGATGCTCCAGAAAAGTGTTCAACTGAGTGGTTTTATTCCAAATGAAATAAATAATTTTTAAAAAAATCATATTTGTTTTTTGTCTTCACAGGATATTTCATTTTAACGTATGAGTTTTTATCAGTGACATTACATTTTGTTACATTATGTTGTTTATGTCTCTCATATTAAATAATTATAAAATATTTTAATGTACTGTAGAATCGTTTTAATTTGTGGGGTCGTGGGTAAGCAAAATTTTGTTGGTTCTGGGGACAGAATTTCGTGGATAACTCCTATATTCAAATGACTCAAAGAATATATATATATATATATATATAGAGAGAGAGAGAGAGAGAGAGAGAGAGAGAAAATAATTGTTCATGGGGATGCAAATTCGTGCTAACCAAGTGACCCACGAAATCCAAGTACATTGGTCCCCCACTAACAATGATGATTCCAGAGTATGCAATTTTAATTTGGAACAATAATGTTTATTCTCTACATATTAATGTAATTGTAGTGAAATCCAGTTTCTATAATGAAGAATTCATTTTATCTTTAAAGAGGGCTTTAATTATCAATTTATTTTATTTTATTTTTAATCTAATTATTGTTTACAATACTAGTTCTCACGGCTGTTCATTGTCATAAATTCTTTCCAAACAAGTAGAGCAAGCTCAACCTCTGTCTTACGGAAAAATTTTAATTCACATTTTTTTTTTTCAAATCAATGATGTCAAGAAAATAAATTATTTTTTTAAGAAAGTTCTTCACTGATCATGCTAATGACTGTATGCATACATGAAAATTACATATTGACAATGTATCTAAAGTCATTTGTTCTCGTAAGACAGATACCATATACCTGTGAGTTGTGTGGGACGAAACCACTAAGGCCTTTTCCATGGGATGGGGTGTGGGGTGGGGTTAACAAGTGATTGGAACTTAACCACTCGATACTAATAAGATCAAAGTAGAGTATGGTACAAGCTAACACTCTAAAATATTGTATAAGGAAAATTAATAATCATAAAAACAGAACTCAAAAGTTAATTATTATTAGGGCTTCAATTGCTTAATTTTTTCCCTTAAAAATGCTTTTCTTTTGAATTGTAAATCAAACTTTTTCCTTCTAATTTTCAGCTTAAAAAACTCAATGAAATTTAGAATAAAAAAGTATGCAAATATATAACCAAAAATTAATATGGTAGTATGTATAACTGTTAACCATGTAAAATCTAAATGGGCATTTTCAAACATTTTGTTTGTAATAAGTTTAACCCCCGATATTCTAAATTATAGAATAAATTTATAGAAAAAAGAGAGATAACTTAAATAAAATGAATTTATACTATTAACATGATTAGCGTTTCTATTTGTACAAAATTGACAATGTTTGCTTCTAATTTGTGTTAGCTTATTACTCAGCTTAAATGACATATAGGTTTCCTTTTATTTTATATCAAGTACAATTCTTTAGGTACATGTACATATATTACTTGTTTTGAAAATATTTTCATACTCTTTAAAATTTAATAAAAAAGTTGATCAAATCAAAGTAAAAGTAGAAATTAAATGTTTAATTTATAAATTAAAACCTTAACCTTACACTTGTGGAAATCCAACTGTGATTTGAATGCATTCTAATATGCGTAATATTTGGTGAAAACTTTTGTCTACCTATGTAATGCTGTCCTTGAAGGTTTGAACAATAATTTCGTTTCAATTCGAGGAAATTCGAAGGAAGTTTCGATATGGAATTACAGAAAATAAAACACATTGAAATTATAAAAATAAAAGTTTAAAAGTTTGAT